CTCATTTAATTTTATATCTTATAGGGTTTATACTGAGTTCAATATTGTATAACTGTATTAATTCAACTGTGAACCTAAAAATTTACAGCCAGTTTTGAAAAAGATGCATCTTAGCTCAGAACATTGTTATTGAATATGTCAATGCTGTTGTAATGAAATGCTTCTTCTAAGTATGTGGTTATTAAATAAAAATAATAAAAATAATAAAGCATCCAGAGGCACAGCAAAAAGAAAAAGCATGAAAAGTCCCACCTTTACTTGAAATGCTCCAATTTGAATGAATTAACAGTGAAAGGATAAAAGTCACATTGAGCTTAAAATGCACAATATACTGTCACAATATACTATTCTGAACTTCCCTTTCAAGTGTGGTAAGTAGCTACAGCACTGCCCTCTGGAAATGGGAAGTAACTTTGTAGCTAGCTACCCAATTCCATGCCTGTGTTCTCTCCAATCACAATGTGCACTGGGAAACCCAGGAGGGCAAATTCAAACCTCTTTTTTCACATGCTGTGATTGAGTCCACAGTCACTATCACATTACATTTGAATCTGTACAGTCCATATTTCTTTGAACTCCTTAAAAACTATATATAGTTCTCTACATATTATTAAGTAGTACATTCAGCTGTGTTTCTAAGTGTGCTTCGTGGAGTATAATAACATGAAAGGCTCTTGGGTTGATGCTGTATCAAACAAATTTACTTATTTGTCATCAGAATTTCTACATTAAATATTCATTATGTATGTGCTGCGGTGTATGTAGCATGTATCAGTGCCCAAAGTTATCTTAGTCATGAAAACTATCTTGTGAAAATATCTCAATATATTTTGCATCCAAAGCATGTTTTATAATACTTTCTTTTTATGAGTTATTTTATTGTCTATTATTATTTATTTGTACTATTTTTAATTGGGGTGGGGTGTGCATGTGAGTGCAGTGCCTACAGAGGTCAAAGGCCTTGGGTTCCCAGGAGCTGGAGTTACAGGTAATCGTGAGCCACCTGGCATGGATGCTGAGAACCAACTCAGGTCCTCTGCAAAAGCAGCACACTCTTAACTGCTGAGCCATCACTCCAGTCCCTTCTAATACTGTCTGGGACGGGTTTGAACTACGTGTTTCTAGATGGCATATCTCTTGTCCAGTCTTCCTATTTCTCTGATAGTCTAATAACCTATGTATTTATTTTGAAGCTTATTTACTCAATACTTATCAAATACCTATGATGTTCCAAGCATTGTGGTGGGCTTTACAGACATATACATAAACAATTAAAAACAATACTCTTTCCTTAAGAGGTTGAGAGCCTAGTTAGGGGAAGTGTTAGTTAATATATAAATAAAGGTGAGTCCGGTGAATAAAAGCATGAGTGGAAGAGTTTCTAGAAGACAGAAAGAAGGAAGGATTATGCAAGGACCTGTATACAATCAACATGACTCTCCAGACAAGTAGCATCTGATGGGGAAAAAGGCACAACTCTGACTCTGTTCCTTCTCTTGTCTTTTGTGTTGCTTTAATGAAAATAATAAATGGAGCTTCTTTAAAATGAAAAATACACGCTGAAAATTTTATAATAGAGCAAAGCTTACAGCTCTAATTCTCTCATCCTAGCTCTAATTCCAATAACAGCCTCTTTTTAAATTTTTTTATGTGTATGAGTGTATTGCCTACATGTATGTAAGTATACCTGTATTGTGCAATGCCCACAGAGGACAGAAAGAGGATGTCGGATCCCCTGGAACTGGAGCCAACACTGAGCCATCTCTCCAGCCTTTGTAACAGCCTCTTTTAATAATTTATGGGCTACAGTTTTGCCTTTGCTTTACAAT